ATGTAACTTCAAGGCTCTTCGTAGTTCTCTGGAGCTGAAATTCTTGAACTATATTTATGACAGGTGAGTAAGGTTTGAACACTTAAATTTTGCTTCTGTTGATTTAAAATTGTAGGCTATGATGAAAACTGGCAATTAGCTCTGTCATCTTGGTGTCAGATGTAGGAGTCTCTCAGACCTATCTTAAAAATGGGAGTTGATTGATGTTTTGTTTGTCTTTCTAGTCATTAGAAATAAGAGCATGTTTGTTTTTTGTTGCACTGAGTTAGGTGCCAATAGTAGAAATAACACTGTGTGATTTCCTGTGGTGTAGATACACTTTATGTGAACTTTGAAAGCTCTGTAAACAAATTATATAAGCATTTAAGATTGAGTTACCGATAAGGCTGTATTGTGTTTTCACCATTCCTTTTTCCAGGCTCATTCACATTCTTAAAACTCTCTGAAGACCCCCTGTTTCTCCTTCCTTCAGCTCACTTACAGACCCTTTTCACCATGGATGTTGTCATTCCCACTGACAGCTACTAGATGGGGTTCAGAAGCAAATTCCAAATAGAACAAACTCTTAGAAAGTTTGGACTAGAGACTTCAAGCCTGTCTCATCATTGAAGAGAGTAATATTTGAACAGGGAGCCTGTAGCTGAACAAGTGACAAGAAATGTGTTGGTCTTCACAAAAATGAAACAATTGTATGAAAGATCTCAGCTTCTCCTTTGCCTTTATAAGTCTTTTTTCGTAGGCATTCTTTGCCTTTGTTTTCCCAACTGGTATTCCTGAGCAGTGTTTCTGTTTTGATGTGTTGCAGCTGAAGGTTAGATAGTCTTGCTCTTTTATTTGTATTTTTGGGCATCATCTTTCCTCTCTGCCTATATTAATATATAAAAGTCCTGATACCCTAAATTATCAGATTTAGTAGAATGTACATCTGCATCTTTTAAAAACTATGTTTTTTAAAGCTTGCTGTTTTCTCTCGGACTCCCACTCCACTGGCAGTATCAGAAACTTAACATGTAGAAATAAGCTGGTCTATATAAAATAAGGAGCTTTATTTTTCGGGGTGGGGTGGGGTGGGTGGGTTTAAAATAATGTGGTGGTGGTGATAAGTAGAAAAGCACAGAGCCAATTTAAAAGAAAAACAGGTTAATATAGTGACCATTGTGTGGTGGGTTCACCTTGGTCAGCAGCCCGACACCCACCCAGCCGCTCGCTCACTCCCCCTCCTCAACAGGACAGGGGAGAAGATATGATGGCAAGGCTCAGCTGTCGAGATAAAGTCAGGGAGACTGCTCACCAGTTACTGTCATGGGCAAAGCAGCCTTGGCTTGGGGAAAATTAATTTAATTAGCTGCAAAGTAAAATAGATTTGTGTAGTGAGAAACAAAGGCAAATGAAAACAACATGTTCCCCCCATCCTCTCCCCCTTCTTCCCATGCTCGGCTTCAGTCTTTCATTCCTGAATCATCCACCTCCCTCCCCACCCCGAGTGGCACAGGGGCATGGGGATGGGGGTTTGCAGTCAGTTTGTAGCAGCTCCTCTCTGCTCCTCAGTTTTCCCCTACTCCAGCGTGGGTCCTGCCCATGGTCTGCAGTGCAAAATCTTTATTTATTTGCATATTTATGTGTTCTTGCTTTGGGCTTTATAATTTAATTTCTTTGTAAAAGAACCTGAAATCGAACAATAAATAAGATAGCGAATTAAGCCGTTTGACAGCTGGAAGTTGTGCTATTGTCAGCAGAACAGTAACAATTTGAATATGGCAGAGTTGCCTTTTTCTACCTGTTTTGAATTAGAAAAGCATTAGTACATTAGACTTTCTGCCTAGTTTTGCTTTGTTTTGTTCTTTTAATATTTCTTGCAAATTAAAAATGGAAATGTAGCCAAACAATTCTCTAAAGGTCACTCATCTCATTTTGAAGTTAAATGAAATATTTATCCTAGAAATGTTTTACATGTGAATATTTACATATAGCTTGTTATTCCTTTTTTTTTAAAAAAAAAACCCAATAAAATCTGAAATTGATTTGGTTCCTTTCATTACAGATTTTTCACCGAAAATTATATTAGGCATGGTGTTTGCTTTTCTAAATGAAAATTAAATTGACCTATTAGCATTACATCATTGTATAGATACTTCCAGGAGGTGATGTTTGTTGATGAGACTGGCGAACACAACCCTCCTACCACCAGCTCATTCCCTTATTGCAAATCAGAGTTATTCCAAAAAGGGTAAGTCTTATTCCAAATAACAATTAAACATTCATTCTGTAAAATGCTCACCATCATCACTGCAGCAGATGGAAATAAGAATGATCTGGTGGTTTTGTCTCAGTTTAAGAGCTGAGTCCTGTGGCACGCAGGGTGATGTGCTAGGACCAGCCCCAAAATAGCTGGCTGTGGCACTGGTAGCAAGGCTGCAAAAGCCAGGTTGCCACCATGTGCTGGGGAAAAAAGAAAGTTGCATGGGTGCTGGGAAACAGTGCTGCCTGCTATTGCTGCATGTGACACTGCTGGCAGGGCGTCTCAATGCGGAGATGTGGTTCCCCAAACAGATGGGATGCAACTGTCTTTTGCCATGGCATAAGTTACCCCAGTTACTTGGGGATATAGCTGCACAGGCTGCACTGACAAGAGAATGTCTGTCTCAATCAAGTACTTCAGGCTCAAAGGAGGCGTTCCCTATAATCATCCATCAAACCACTCAAATTTCTCCTTGGCTCCTCGAACAGAACTGATGAAAAGTTAGGTGTTGTCTGATTAATGTTTTTACCATTTGCTTCTGCCCTTCCTGCCTGTCTGCATCTGTGGTTGTCTCCTGCATTATCTGTCCCCAGATTATAAAATCTTTGGAGGATGCATCATCTCTTTGCCTGGTAGGGCTTTCCCCCTCCACCTTCTCAGCTCCTGCGGCTTCGTTCTGATTCGTTTCCTCCCTTTGGTAGGAAATTCCTTCAGTGTCATCACTTTGAGAGCTGGCCTTTTGCAGCATTTTGTTTTTAAAATGTACCACTTAGTAACTAATCTCAAACGAGAGCAAGGCAAGTCTGTTATATAGTAATATATAATGAATTGTGGTATGAGCAAAGAATGTATGTAAGCTGTACGCTTGTATAAAACAGTCCTTCTTTGGGTCAGTTTTGTGCATAGCATTCCTCTTGTGAAGTTGCTTTGGCTAAATCAAGAAACTAACATTTTGATTTGTGAAATTAAGTGAAAGACAGGAATATAACTGCTTGGTAGACAAAACCAAAGACAAAATTAGTACTCACTGTAGTTTGACAATAAAATGATTGACTGATTTAAAAAAAAAAAAATGAAATGGAAAGCATTTGTGTGGTGCCAAAACTGAGGTTATCTATTATAACTCTGAGACAGATTCATATAAAATTAGCAAAAACTCTCTCATACCACGCATCTTTAAATAGCCTTGCCTTTACATGTGCATACATTCCTTACTGTTCCTCAGAGCATTTACTTATTGATGGGGCCTTTGTTAAGGCAAGAGAATTAGATTATATATTATGCTAAAGACATTCTCGTATTACTATTGCTTCACTGTATTGCTTAAGCTGTCAGTAGGAATTTCAATTTTGTGTATATATTTTAGAAACATGCTTTATTTTCAGATAAAAGTTTGGAAAAGTAGCTATTTTTGTAATTCTGATAATCTAGATCATTCAGGATGGCCTAAGGAGAAATATTTGAAAATTAAACTTCACGCTTAGCCCTTTCCATTTGTGGTTTCCCTCCTCTCTGCAGAGAAAGGGTGTACAAAGATAGTTTCTGTGGGTTTAGGAAGCAGATGGTAGCACACGAAGCCCTGTGTTTATAAGCACTATGGTGTTTTGATTTTTAATTAATGGTGTTTTTTGAAAACTTCAAAGCAGGTTAGTAGAAGAGTGAGCTCAGATAGTGTTTGATGTCAGCAAGTGAAAATGGAAGAGGGTCATCTGCCCCTTATTGTGTGTGTGAGGGGTGGGGGATCGTATCTATTTATTTGAAATATTTTCTTAGTCGATCTTCAAATGAGTAAAAAAAAAAAAAAACAAACTCCAAAAAAGGAGGAAAACATTATCTAATCAAAGCTTCTCGGTCAACTAATGACGTCAAGCAGTAACCTTCTCTTTCTCACCATATTTCCTTTGGACTATAAACTATTTAATACAGCAAGCAATTACATCATCCATCATAGCAATGTAGCGCTTTTCTGAGTTTCGCTATGTGATGGGTTTATCAGTGCTGGGCATGGGAAGGAGGTAAAGAATAACATCCTATTTAAATGAATTTGCAGATTGGAATGTGGGGAGGAACAATGGCCCGTGCTGGTGCCTGGCAGCACCCCGGGTTGTCAGCCTCCTGTTAATGAAAAATGCTTTAATGACTACACCAACCAGGTGCCAGGATGTGAAATACATGTGTTGGGTATTGGACTTGTGTCTAACGTGGATTTTGAGCTACGGCAGTAACTTAACATAGGGACACAACCTGCACGTGGTCTTGTTCTGTGCTGACATGGCTGCTGCATGTGGGAAAGATGAGCTCCTCTTGAGTGCGTTGAAGGGTGAGAGCAGGTGTCAAGCGTTATCATGGAGAAATAAAAGCACTTCTTACCTTGTGGTGATTTGTTCATATGACCTTTCTGTTAGAATAATTTTGCCTTCTGATGTCGTTTTCAGCAGCACGTCACGTTTTCAGCAGCACGTCACTTTTTCCTGCTGTTTCCAGTAGAAGTAATGATGCTAGTTAGGATATTCAGAGGTGACCTGATGTGCACGCAGGTGATTAGAGGAGGTGTAATTTTAAATTCAGATTTTGTAAAGAATAGTAAAGGTTTTGTAAAGAAATTTCCTTTTCTGAAAGGAAAGCTGATAATTGTCCAATATTTAAAAATTAGCAGTGAAATTGCAGTTGGCAAGCCCTTGCAGTAGCAATATTGGTTTTTTTTTTCTTGTTGCTTATGCCAGTCTAGTACATGAGTGTCATAGATTTGTTTTTTCCTCAGAATACGGCGGCATGGGCTTGGACTTCTCCTATAGCATTGCAGTGGCAGAAGAGCTGGGAAATATCCGCTGTGGAGGTATTCCTATGGCTATTGGAGTGCAAGCTGGCATGGCTACTCCTGCTCTTACAAGGTAATGTTTAGAAAGCTTGGTTTAGCCTAGAAGCCAAATCGTCATGTGTTTAGGCCTAAAACCCAATCTGTGTAAGAGTAGGAAAATAGATTACTGTGCAGATTTACCGTCTAGTTGCTCTTCAGTAATGCCTAAGGAAGAAACCTACTCTCTATCTCTCTCAGACAGTTTGGTTTAGGGGAGAAAATACATTTTTTTTTTTTAAATGTAAGAGTATTATATATTAAAACGTAGGCCTTGTTTAATAGTAGATGATATGTTTACAAACACAGAACCTCGGTGCCACAACCAATAAAACAATTTTAATTCCAGAATCCCTCTACTCATGTTTGTGTTTTTGCTTAGCCACATATCCCAGTGCAGTCATACTAAGGATGCACTTAGTTTTAATGATTAGGATCAGTCTAATTCTATTTCATAATTTACTTGCTTTTTTTCCAGCTTTACAAGGTGCTCCTCACTGACTGTGACTTTTCAGAAATAATGATCAATATTGGTGTAAGTCCCAAAGTCATAGCACATGTATCGTGCTTCCTAAATACGCCAGACAATTACCCATTTTGCTTTTTCTCATCTGCTCGTGTCAGTGTTTCCCTTTTATCACTTGCTATCATTTAGGCTCCTGCACTTTCTGAATCTGTTTTGGGGGGTTTTTTTTCTCCCTCAATAAAAGTGGCAGTTACCAACTTCTTCTTCTTTCGTAGTTTCAGAGATATTCTGCATCAAAACAGCAGTTTGCAAAACTAGAGGGAGACGACAGGCTGGTCCAGCAGTTTGCCCCTGGAATATGGATACGCCTAAAATTCTGGAAGGCGGTGGTGGGGATTAAATTCAAATGATGACGATGAAGTCAAGAATTTCTCTGCACAAAACAGATATACAAGAGGGGGATTTTTGCACAGAAGAGCATTTTAGGGTTGGGTTTTTTGTTGGTGGTTTCCCCCCTGCCCCCATTCTGAATGAAAGTGCCTGTAAATCCACTGTAGAGTCTGGAATGTAGGCTCTGTTCCCTTGACATCCTTTTATCCTTTTGCTAAGTATGCACGACTTCGGAGGTCTCAGCCATGGGAAATCTTTCTAAAACTTTTCTTCTCCTTTGTGTAATACACCAAAAGCTTGCTGAAAGCATGGAGTTCAGTGTGTCTGTTGCAACAGTAGTTTAGTTATAGTCCAACTGAGAATAAAACTAGTATTTTAAAAGACTTCAGAGAATAGTACCGTGCCCCCATGATAGCCTTTTATTCCCAGGGGTTTAAAAAAAATCTGAGGGTAAAAGAAGGCAGGATTTGTTCCATTGCAGTTTCTTGGCCTTCTGTTGCTCTGTTTCTGCTCTAGTAAAGCAGTGAAGCTATGTATATTTGTGCTAGTGAAATCCTGAAGTGGATGTTCTTAGAAAGTAAATGTGAAAATGTTGTTAACATGATGAAATCTGAAATTTGCATCTGTATTAGGAACTTTTCCTTTACTGTTAAGTCATTTCCACTGACTAGTTATACAGTACAGTGTCCCACCCTTAAGATGTGAAAGTGAATCTTGGTAATGAAAAGAGAAAGCTGGTTGCTACAGGAAATTTTCCACAGGTGCAGCTTTACTTCATGCAGTATAGTGAGAGGGCTAACTGCTTGTCCTGGGTCATGGACTCAAATTGCATTCACAACCTGGACGGTGTCTTTAAAGGTATCTGCGTACTGTGGTGATCCTAAACAAGTTCAAAGAGAGAATCCAAATTTTGCATCTTAACTGTGCGTTGTTGCCCATGATGCATCAGCGATGCGCAAAGTAAACAGTAATATGGGAATCAACCATCATCCCTTAAAAAACTTTTAAAAAGAAGTCTGGAGCCCTTTGTTGGCTTTCCTAACTTTGGGCTTTATTCATCATTCATCAAGCATACACTGAATGCACCTGAAAACCAACTCAGTCAACGTGATACATCATGAAGATGCTCTGCTACTATAAATTAGAGATGCTTCCTCAAGTAGATATATGGACAGCACAGTAGTTTGAACAGATGGATACACATACGCACACATGTGCGCACACCCACACAGAGCTTTTTAAACTTTTCATACTTTGAAAAAATGAAGTCTTAGAAGATCTAGTGTCAGGATGCCTCCTGATGCTGTTTCTGCAACTTCCATGGGCTTTAATTGTACAAATATATAAAAATAATATTTTATTTTTAAATATTATATAAATAATTATTTTTATATATTAATAATAATATATAATAATTTATATTATTTATTACGCATAAATATATAATTATATGTTTTTATTACTGTTATAAAATTATTATGTTTATTTTAAAATATTATATAAATATATAAAATATGTATAAACCAGGTTTAATTATATAAATAATACATTTTGAAAATGTTACCCGGATCTGTTTGTTTGTCCGTTCGCTGTTCCTGTCCCTTTTTACTTCATTCTTTACGATTTTTTTTTGGCAACCTTCAGAAAGTTCTATTCATGGTCATACTTGGAAGCAATGCTGCAGATTTTGATTTATATGTGTTTCTATTGTGCAGACAAATATAGGAGAAAATAGTTTTGTTTCCCTTCAAGATGCCCAGACTGCTCCATTTTTTTCCCCAGATTCCTCTAAGTGAAACAGTAGCACTTTGTAAATTTGAGAACTAAATGCAAAATGTTTTGTCAGCAGTGATCTGACCTTTGATGTACCTGGTTCTGAACATAACTCTCCGTCAGGTCTTTCAAATGCATTCAGATATAATACTTCACTTGCTTTCATGCTTACAAGTAGAGTGGAGAAAGCAGCTCTCAGCTGAGGCAGTGAATGAGATCCATTTCCTTGGGCTTGTAAACAAAGCTATAGGGTGATGCATCCGTAGTGATACCAGATCAGTGTACAGCTCCTTTATCTCGGCAGTAGGCAGTAAACTTTCCTTCTCTTTTTCTTTTCTTTCCCCCTATTATTTATAGGAAAACAGTAAGAATAATGATGATTATTTAGTGGGAAGAGAGTGCTTTCCTATTTCATCAGCTTGCTCGTCACCAAGTCTTTCTCCACCCTGAACAGCGGCATACCCGAGAATTAATGTCCATAAAGTTCGTTTTACTGTCTCTTTTCCTGTTTGCTGTAAAGGAGAGAAGCTGCAGCTGACAATCAGAACAGCAGTTTTGAAAAGCAGGAACATCCACTTGATCAGCTGGGAAAAGGGTGAAAATGGGAAGAGGTCATTCAAGAGCCGAGTGGCTTTCCCACTGGCATAGCAAAAGGGAAGCTTGGTTTTGTGCTTCTGCAAGAACAGACATACTGAGTTGTGTCTCTCTCACATTTGGTACGTAACTTGTATAGTGCACAAAAGGTAGGCCATGTCTTGCCCTGAGCCAGAGCAGAGACTGTTACAGGTGCAGCTTTCAACATATCATTAAAAAAACTATCATTAAGCATTGCTGTCATGATGGCTAGTTCTGTTGCATCCATAGCCAGCTGTGCTGCTTTGTGGTTTTGAATACCTGTGAGGGTCTAACCTGGCCAGAGCAATACGGTGAGGCAGTATGAAGTCCAGCAGCTGCTTCTGAACTAGCTTTCCTCAAAACAGCTTCACGCTGTTCCTATACCTTTGAGGTTTCTCCAGCTCCTGGTGACAGACAGACAGACAGGTGGTAGGTTGTCTGGTGTGCAGCCTTGAGGTCTCCAGAGCTGGTGTGGTAGCAGCAGGACACCAGCCACACGAATAGCTCTTAAAAACTGCATGGTCTGAAGAGGGTAATCTTTAATATGACTCCTCTTTTACAATACCTGCATTTTAGTGCAAAATGCATTCCTAAGTAAATAGAAGACTGACGTAATCATTAACCAAAACCCTTCAGGTAGTCTCATCTGCATGAGGCAGTCATACCCATCAGGTAGTCTCATACCAGCTTCTCATCTGTATTCTTTTCAGAATGTAGCAGTAGCTCAAACTAAGCAATTTATTTCATAAAATCTTCAAATAACTGAAGCTTAAAGGCTTGATGAAAAACTGGGAGCCAGAGCACTTTTCTTATTGCTTTTTTTTAAAATAAAAAAAGTTTTCTAAATGTGGGTTTTGTAAACTCACATGTCTTTTTATCTTGACTGAAATAGAGACTCAAGGAGAGAAAGCTGTTTGCAGTGTGGATTCTTTTAAATCCAGGTTGTGTAAATTACCCAACTTAATGAGGCTTCCATGCTGCCCAGGGGTGCTTGCTGCTGTTCACCATTCATTTCTAACTCTTTCTGTGCCTGTAAGGAGCATCTTTTCCCTTTTGTTTTTTCTTGCTTCTTTTCTTGTATCTTGACGATCCAAGGAGTACTGCTAAGTTGGACCCGGAAATCAGATGGTAGGATGCCTGTGCAGGACTACACTGAAGCAAAAGCGTGGCACATGGCTACTGCGTTATTAATAGTTTGAGTCTAGGAGCAGACCATGAAGAGAACTGGGAGAAATTCACCTCTTGCTAGTATGTAAGAAGGAAAGTGACAGTAGGTCAGAGTTACCCTCTTCTTTGTCTAAAGGAAATCTTCTTTATATTCCTAGGAAGTCCATGGGTAAACTATTGTATCATCTTTGAGATACTGCAGAATAATGCATAGATCATCTGAAAACTTTTTTTTTCTTTATGTTTACTTTGGTGGTGAATGGTGCTCGAATGTGTGAGCTCCAGTGCAAGAAAGGTTGAGTTGATCAAATGCCGAGAGCCATGTTAGAACTGCCTGCAGCTGTTCATATTCAGAATTTCAATTTGCATTTAATAGTGTATCATACTAGTGTCTCTGTCAGTTCTACTTAGAACTTTCCTTACTAATTTAATTAATTCCCTTCAGCTCAGCTTTTTTCCCCAGAAGCAGAAGAAACAAAGGTGAATAAGATCTGTGGTTCTACCAAGATGATTATCAGCCCAATTAAGTCAGAATAGTGATGTGCGATAGACATGTTTTCATTCAATGTAGCAATCTAACCTGTCAGAAACCAGATTTTTATATATATTTGAGATTAATAAAGGTGACTTCAAATTTCTAATTGGCAGAGCACATAAACAGAACTATGTGGATCAAGGAAGTGTTCTTACATCTATATTTTGTCATGGTTTTATTTTCCTTTTACCCACCATTTACAGGATTGTATACCATTGTCATTTTTTAGTTTGTATTCATGACATTCCACCAATGTTACTTATAAAGTGTGGAGCAAGAAAGGATGGACCGCTTTCATGCAAGTCTTAATGTGTCAGAATCTCACACTTGGGACTTCTGGGTTACCCAGCACCAACGAGGAGCTCTGGTTTATTGACTGTAGACTCGTGTGTGTGTGTATACATGCACACATGCATGAAAACATATGTTAGAGGGATGCTAAGGCTGCCCAGTTGATCACATGGGAAACTGTGCTCTGGGGTATGGCCCCGGCCCAGAAAGCAGACATAGTCTGGTCTGTCTTGAGACAGAGCATGATCTTATTGCAAACAGAGTTTTCTAATTCTGGAGCTGTTAAACTGGAAAGAAGTGAGTATTGCATTTATGCAAACCTAAGATTTTTCTGGGATGCATTTAAGACGGGTAGAATTTTACAGAAACAGCATATTTCTAACACAATAGCTAGCTGCTTGCTGAGCTGCATGTCCTTCCTGCAAGGCATAGAGACCCATGATCTTCTAAAGATAGTGTTGCCAGACTTTTTTTTTAATTGCAAAATAACTTCTTCTGTAGCCTCATTTTTGAGAAGAGTGGAACTATTTTCTGGAATGTAAGCCAAACAAACAAAGATATCAAACCAAAATAATTATTCTGAGAAAAGTTCTTGTCATGGAAATCCTCTGTTGAAATAACAAAAGGTTGGCAAAGTTTTAAGCATCACAAAGCACTGCCAAAAATCCCTGCTAGCTCCTCTCATAATCTGATTTTTCATGTTGTTGGTTGGGTTTTTTTGTCTAATGAATGTTCAGCTAGCCATACTTGACCATGTCCCAAGGAAAAGAAAAAAAGAAAAAAAGAAAAAACAAAACAAAAAGTACACTGCATAACAGACCAGGGGACTTTGCCCGAGTATGCTGGAGGAAGGAGTACACACCCCAAGCTCACTTCTTGTATTTATTTGGGATTGCTGCCATGATTATCAACAGGGACAGGACTAGGAATTGAGCTCCCTGTGTCTGCCAGCTCCCAGTCTGTTCTCTGGCCGTCCTGTGTCCTTTGACTGTTTTGTGTCAGGGTTAGAGTGGAGCGGAAGGGTCAGAGTCTTACCTAAAATGGTGTCACTCCCTTGGAAGTACTGGGACGGTGTTTTAGAAGGAGGACTCGGGTAACTGCAGCCTGCTTAGGCAGCCAGTGAGCCTAAGGAGATGAGTAGAGATGCTGACCTGAGAATCCTCATACCACAGAGGAGGCTTGACTTTTATGGATTTCTGCTCACAGAAGAGACATCTTATGACCCAAGGAATCTTTCAGTCTAGCACAAGAGAGGTTCAAGAACTAGACCATGAGCTCACCATTCACGCTGCAAGACCAAATCAGTGGATGTTAAATAGGACAACATCAACCATGAAATGAGATGGACCATGTTTTGAATTGATGAAAGCAGCTAAACATTGGAAAAAAGAGGGTGCCTCTTAACTGGACTGAAATATGGCCAAGTGATTTTTTTTTTTTTTGTGTTAAAATGCCATCAACAGTTTGCTGTTTCCCTTTTTATTTTTTGGGGGACTAAAAGAACGGCTGGGAAGAAGCACTGTATAAGAAAGCTGGGATTTCACTGTATGATTTAAATGCAGATGTGAAATATTAATAATGTAAATACAGATATTTATAGAGGGTGGCCATCACCTTTCATAACTTTTCAGTGACCACTAAAACCTGGCAAACAGCTAGTGCAAAAGTCAGAAGATACGCAGAGAGCGGGTCCTCCATCCTGGCTGACTGCAGACTGGTGCAGGAGCATTGAGGGGAAACCCTAGGGACTACGTTTATTTAGATCTGATAGCTCTCAAAACAACAAAGATCAGATTTTGGACATCTAGACGACACGTTTCTGTGTGCTTGAATACTTGTAAAAACCTTGTTTAAAATGATTGTGGCTGCACTTGGTGGTGAAGGCTCTGAATCATAGCTTTGGAGGGCATCTATTCTGTCTTTTGACTCTGGGACAGGTTTTACCTACCTAGTCATAGGAAAACTGATCACTGTGTGGGTAGGGCAAAACTTGTAACGAACTTGTAAATAATGTTTACCTTCAAAAGCTTTTATTATCCAATCTTTTTCATTATATTGTTGCAGGTTTGGTTCTGATGAGTTGAAAAAACAGTTCCTCGTACCAACTATAGCTGGAGATTTTGTGGCTTGCTTGGGAATCAGTGAAGCTGGAGCTGGGTCAGATGTCGCAAGTAAGTTAACCTAGCAAATTGCCAATTTTAGACAGCCTGGTGTTTTAATGGAAGGAATCTGGTTTCCCTGACCCTTCTCTTTGCCACTGTCATTTGTAAGAAATATAAAGGAAAGAAAGTCTGGTGTGGGCAAAAAGTAATATTCCAGGAACAGTAATGCATGCCTCTGATGCATCCAAAAGCTATCAAATTGAATGTATTTGTCAGTGAATCAATAGCTATAACCCTGTATAGGCTGAGCACAACAGATTAATATGCAGCTGTCATGCTGGCCCTGGATTTTTCCTGGTGTTTGTCCTGCTGCTGCTGCCGCCTCCCCTGTTCTGTCTGAGCTCACCACTGGCAGGGAGCACTCCAGCACCTCCTGTAGTTGCACAGCCGCCGTTGGTTGTGCAAACCTGCAGACGTGATAGGGGATGTGGCCTGTTCAAATGTACTACAACTTGCACTTCTTAAAACAGACCTCTCCACTGAACGTTGGCAGCCTGCAGAGCTAGTCTGTTCTGAAAATGATGGCATCACTTTCACAATGGGTTCCTCTTGCTCATTCTTACCTCATCTCAGCCCCTTCCGTCGTTCCTGTGCAGCAAAAACGTCTCTGAACTGGTGGCTGTTTTATTTAGAGCTAATGAAGAATTTGCCATGTCAAATCTATTAGCTTTGTGATTTAGTTACTTTGCATGCAACTATTTTTCTTATTTTAGTGCAAGAATATGTTTAAAAATACGGACAAATAAAAGTATTATTCCAAAGTGCCTGAGGCAGTAGATAATTTGAACAATTAAATTAAAACAGATATTGTAGAAAAAGTAAAAGATATCTCATCTGACTGTGAATCATGGACTTCAAGGAAAAGGGAATGACAAGAAACCACTTTTAGAGGTTTTGTTGTTGGACACAGGATGGCTAAGTTGAACATATGGCGCTCTTACAAATCACTGAGATGTCTTCCTGCAGACAGCATTGCTGAGCTTGACAGAAGTTTTTGGATCAGTGGAGTCCTATGTTCATCTCCTTGACCAAACTTATGTTGTTTTCTCATGACAAATAGATAATTATTCGGTGTTAGAGCAAGGGTACAGCAGGTAGTTTTCAGGAGAGTTAATGGGGATAGTCAAATAATGGGACTAAATTCTCCTGCGTGATCCATTGCTGTTTTCCTTTCTAGTTAATTGATTTTGTTCATAAGAAAAATTCCATCATTTTTATAGACTTGTTTTTCATTAAAATTATTTGAAATTGGAATTTTGCTAATGTAGGAAATAAAACATCATTTATTTTAATTAATGCCTCTCTAGTTTAATTAGATGATTATCAGAACTTTCTAAATATGATTTCAATTTTTTTATGCAGTGTTCCAGATAATAAGTAACATAAATATTCTTTTAGCTGCATGTTGTTTATCATCTAGTTTAATTGGTATGATACACTTGGATTAATACAGTTAAAGAGAAATTTGGAATCAGCTAGGGTTATCTGATGAACCCAGACTGCAGCTGGGAGGCAGACTGTGGGGTGAAATGACGATACTTTTTTGCCTGTCATGGTAGAGCTGATCCCTGGTATAAATCCAGAAACCAGCTTACAATGCTTCTAAAGGGTAGTTAAACAGACAACTTAGGCATGAGCAGCACTAGCTTATGTTTTGAGTAGCACTGATTTGCACGAGGCAGAGAGAACGTATCATTTCCAGGCGGCCCAGCTTTAAAGTAGACTGGACTGCATGAAACTGCACTTGATATTTCCTTTGGTTTCTCATGCTATTGGATGTTTGTCTCCCTTAGATAAGTGAAGGGGTAATAAAACATAGCAAGTGTTCACATGTGAAGGTTGGGGACGTGCTTCTGCCATGTGAGCCAGTATATTTTAAACTGAAAAATGATACAGAGTAAGGTATCTCTAGCATTTTCTTCTGCCAGTTCCAAAATTACTGAAGGTGATGCAAACACAGAAGAAAAAAAAGTGTTTCTGTACATGCAAAGTGAAAGGTGCCTGGGATTAATTTATTCAAAATTCAGCAAAACAAAGGACTATGTATATTAGTCTAATATAAATTTCAAGTCAATTTGAAGGAGCACTTGTCTGCTTTCAAATGTAGTTGTTGTATATTGTACATAGTATTCACCATGTACTAGCACAAAAAAAAAAAAAAGTATTGACCGAAACTAGCACAGAGATGACTTGAGAAGCAGAACCATACAGAACAGTTGGTGTAGAAAGTGTCTTTCTTTAATTTCAAGATTCTTGGTACCACAAAGTATACACATTTGTGTCGGTTTTAATGATTTTGTCTCATTCTATCTCACTGCTATTCCACAATTTATATAATGTTTTGCTGGTAGTCTGGAGGGGATACGTAAGAATACATCATGGAAGACACTTCCTCTTTCTTCAAGTTATGTCTTCCAGGCAACTGCATCAGGTAACCCTGTTCATGTCTGCCTCTTCAACATAGATATCTTGCCCCATTTTGTCTCAATGGAATCCAGTCTTTCTGCTTTTCTGGGTTTAGGTCATCTTTTTTGAGCATGAAAAACCAAAATTGCACATGGTGTCTGTAATGGCACAAATACTTCTCCAACCCTATTAGAAATATTACCCTCCAATATGTAATGTTACACAGCAGTTTGCTGGCTTGTGAATCTTGTGATTAACTGTGCACGTCATCTTCACTAGCAGTTTGCTATTGAAACATTGTAAGATACAGCAATCATTATTACTTTGTGCCAAAGTGCTTGCACTTGCCATGTTGAATTTGAAAACTCAAGATCATTCCTTTCTTGCTGGGCAATACCTCAGTTGTCTGTGTTGGTGATATCTCCCAAGTTTGTGTGACCAGCAAATTTCTTTAGTGTATTCCTATTCTTCTTTTAAAGGTCATTAATGGAAATATTCAATAGGTTTTGTCCAAAGGCTGATATCCAAGGAGGAGCTCCAATAGTACCCTCCCTGCACATCAGCACTTCCTCTTTTAATGCAACCTGATGCAATTTCCCCTTTGCCAAGTTCCTTACCTACATTTCCACTTTTGTCCTAATTCTTATCTTGTCCAAGTTTTAACTTATAGTTACCTACTAGCATCAGTTTTAGTTTGCTTGGGTCCAACAGGATTTTTCCTGTTTTACATTTCTCTAGAAAATCCATTTTTGGAATAAACAAATCAGGTTGGTTTTAAATAAGATACCACTGGTAAATTTAGTTCTCTTTTCTTTCCAAATGTATTCTGAGGCTGTGCAGATTGCCAAAACCAAGTACCTCTGTTTTCACTAATCTTAATTTCTGTACAGTCCTTCCTGTAGATGTCTTGCTTTGTCAGCTATATTGTGGATCTTTTTGTAATCTCATGTGAAATATTTCTTTAGTTTTGAGGAGTCCTCTATATGCCTCATGTTTTTTTTTTCATTCTCTTTTCATTTCTGTGGCTGAAATATTTTTGTTGCCACCTCAGTCTTCTTCACTTTTGTTGGTTTTCATCCGCAATTTTTAACTTAGTTTGACCTGTGGCAGTTCTTACCTTCTGACCTCCTAACTGTAGCTTACTTTGATGATTAATCTCTTTCATTTCCTGTAGGCCATGTCCTGTTTTTTGACGTGATTATTCATTCAGTTAGACTTGAAGCTGTTTCATGCAAGTTTTTTTTTTCCTGTGCTGATGATGTAAATAATATGTGTTCTTCATTTTTTACTTTAAGGATATGCATTGCCTATCTTTGATCGTAATATTGACCTTAAAAGTTGAAGCCAACCTTGCCTTTTGTCAAATCTATTTAGATGCATGGCTGAACTCAAGAGCACAGTGGAGAAGAAAACTTGAGGCTCAAGTATGTTATGATTTGAATGGTGAAGTGACCAGCCCTGGTTGCTGATATGGCACTAGCTGTATCATATGCCTTTTGATGATGCCTTGTGGCCTTTCCTAGAAGGGGCCCTCACAGCATGCTCTGTAAGTTGTTGAGTTATAGGCGCTACGGGGCCAGTGGTGTGGACCTGCCAAAAATGAGTTATAGAGCACCTGCTGAAGTAGCCTTTTCCCAGAGCTATGCTGTATCAGGGAGAACAGTTACAGTCAAATATTGCAAATTATCTTCATAGCCATGTCCCTGAGACTGAGTCCACTTGATTTTAGTAAATTAAGTAGGTTTTCAAAGCCTGCTGTATTTTAAACATAAAACTTACTGACTTGATCATCTTTCTTCAAATTAAAGTTACAAAAACATCAACTCTTCATAAGTTGATTCTAAATAGTTGTTTCTCAACTGTTTGAAGCAAACTATCAGCCATCTCATCTGGCAGTACTTGAACATTCCCATTAGTAATGTATTTGTTCTTTAATCTGTATTTGGGTGGTTAGTCCTCTGTGACGCCAGGCTTGCAAGCACTGTTTACATTTGTGATAACATCACAGTGCTCATTGTTCCTCTGCAGACCTTCCATGGAACCACTATCTAATCTCTTCAGTAGCTGTTCCACAACAAAGGGATGTGTGATGTAAATCACTGTGTATGCTCCCATCCTTTTCACGCTACTTCAGTACAGTGTCATATTTCTTATTCTGGCTCTTGTGTGTCCTTCATTTATTGTTTAGTCTCCATGTATATGATTGTCCAGTGTCTGCGTCCATGCATTATGAGCATCAGTACTTTCGATTCCTTCAGTTTGTTGGCCTTCATTATTATACAGATTTGGCATAGTCCTTTCATTGACTGAATAGCTATATGGCTGCTGTTTTTATCCACATTAGTACTATCTCTTTCTCTTGCTGTTCATTATTATTTGCTCTTAAGTTCCTTTAACCATAGCTATATCCAATATTCCCTTGTCTTATACCTTATGCAATTTTCTCCTGTCATTTTTCCCCAGTTCCTTCATTAACAAGCCTTCTTTTCAGCCATGCTGACCTCAGTCCCAGTTTATCTTGTAAATGAAGATCAGATACTTGGTTTTGCTTTGTTTTATGTTTAGAGACTTTGGGAAGAAGGTTTATGTGCAAATGGAGGTGGGTGTGTATGAAGGTATAACCAGCTGACTTAAATGTGCCTGCCCACTCCACTTGGTGTCTGACTCCTATCCTCCAAGTCTACTGCCATCTTCAGTAGATGGGCTTTTATGGACTTTATAGTCTCATTAGATTTACAAGTGCTAGTAGGGGTGTGGTAGGATTCTCTTATACCATCACCTACTTATAGCTAGATATCGGTTGGAGAGTCTTCCTCAGTTGGGGTTTTAGTTGAAGAAGTTCAATTGCAGGGGAAAGAAGCCAGCCCTTTTGAAATTCTGCTGGAGTGTAAATAATAACTAATGATTCACTCCGGCTGTCTGTTGCAGCTAGGGCTGCTTGCAGTGTGATGTGAACACTCACGGATGAAAATAAGATTGTTTTTTGTCAGGGGGTATAAATAGCAGGTGTTTAGAACTCCTTCATGTACAGACATTCTTAGCATTTAGACTTGGCCTTTTGAAAGTTTATTAGCTTTGAATTTATTACACCATTCTGACGAAGAACACGCAGGAAGCCGCGTGTACGTATATCTTTATGCATACACAGATACTGAGGCTTATGTTTGTTTAAGTCAGGACTCTGAAATAAATGGCCTCCTCAGTGACAAACGTGCACAGTAACAGAAACGCGTAATAGATGACCTCAGACTGAAATGTTTCTGGCCTGAGTTTTTGACGACCAAATTTACTTAGGGAAAGTTTTCTGCTTTCATCTGCTGGGATGAAGACTCCACCTAAAGGAGGGTGAAAGAAGTGGTCTGGTTTCCCTGGCTTGCCTTCCAAGAGTTGTCCAGACAGGTCTGCCTTGTGCAGCCTGGAAAGGTTAGAGGACTTGGGGGGTATGAAGGGAGAACCAAATATTAGAGAACAAGGGAGTGACTCTGCCAGTCATACAGGGACCAGCTTATTCCTCCTTCACAAGACTAACCCTTCATTTCCTCTGTTTTGAAATAGATATCAAGACAACAGCTGTGAGGAAAGGCGATGAATATGTCATAAATGGTGGTAAGATGTGGACGACGTCCGGGTGCCAAGCGGACTGGATGTGCCTGCTGGCAAACACCAGTGAAGGACCTGCCCATCGAAATAAATCTCTCATATGTCTGCCAATGAATCTACCTGGTAATAACACAGAACTCTTTCTCTTCTAATTTGATTTTACTGGTGGTTTTGTGTATGCCCAATACAAGAAGGAAAGGTGTTTGACAAAAAGGACTGCACCCATAAATGCTCCTCTAAGTTAGGTGCTTCACTGTCATACAAAGTTGGTTCTGAAATGCATTTGCACACTTCCACAAAAAAGTAGGGGACAAGAGGAAACAAGAAGGAAGTTAAATATTTTGCAGATTTCAGCTTGTGACTCCCAAATAATTTTATATAGCGAGTCCCTTTCTCCAAAAAATAAATTTGTAAAAGTTGTTTCGATACATTTGCATGGGAATATTTCATAACCTTCTGTGAGAATGAATAGACAAGTCAATGCCAAGGACAAAATTAAAGCCTCAAAGAAACCATTAAAAATAGAGCCAACATTTTTTTGAAAGTTACAACATCGTGTCTTTTAGTTTTGGAGAAGTTCCACAAAACTTTTATCTTGGTTTTCTGTCCCCAAAAGTCATGAAGATGCAAACAGTCCACAAAATAAATAAAATATTACTCTACTTACATAGATCTTTGCTACATATGAACTATATGTAAAATGTTCCTAAATTATCTTTCCAAAATAGCGTTAAACTCTTTCCTGTTTTGTATGAGGACTGGTGCACAGAATATATACTTCTTTTTTTCAGTGAATGGAGAAGTATTTTTAAGCTTGCTGTCTTATTTCTTCAGAAGATATTGGAAGTGAATCTCAAACATGTGAAAATAAAAGGATAAAGAGTTTAGAGATTTCAAACTTGGGAAATACCTCCCAAAACAATCTTATCCCACATGCCAACACCTGCCTCCCAGGAGCCCATGGGCAGTACCTGACTCCGTTAGGGTGCGTTTACTGACTAGCTGTATTCAATACTAGAAGGATGCAATGCTGTGCTGTGATTGTATTGTATGGATGGTCCTGATCTTCCTCCGATAACCATCCTCCATCACCCAGACTGGTGGGCTTGCTGAAGAGAAGTGCAGGTGTACTCAGGGCGCTTCATGGCTGTGCTCTGCAAAGGGATCTTTTTGCCAGGGTGCTACTATCATTAGCAGCTTAAATTACTAAAATAGTCTGTGAGTTTAACGTGGGCTGGAGTGAAAGCTTCAAAGATCTTGGAAGTAGGGATTTGTTTTTGAAGAAGACTAGTAATTTGGGTGAAGACGCCAAAGAAATACATCCTGATCTATAGGTACAAGTTTCAGTGGTACACTCCATACAGTGTCTGTTCTTGAGTAGTCTCCAGACCTTGCAGCAATAACGTGCTATATGCATAAAGGACATCATTCAGAGAGGATACAGTTAAGGTTATGTTGGTGGGAACCTTTTGCAGTTTCAACACCTGTTCAAAAGTTTTTAAACCTTTTTGATTTTCACTCATTTTAATATCTAAAAAATTACACAATATATCAATTTATTTAATATATAATGTATAACATATTGTAACACATTTTAAATATATAATAACTATTTGATATATAATAATCCATATTAATGTATTTATATAGTAATATAAAATATTAAAATCTATGGCATTTTCATTCATTCAATTCAGGGTATTTTACATACAAAATATATGTCATTATCAGCATTTCACATGTAGGGACACCACCAAGGCAATGAAGTGAAGGTCCATATGTTCACTTAATGGATCAGACTGAGAACAAAACCCAGGTCTCCAATGTTGCAAAAGAGGGTGATGAGAGCTACTTAAGGGAGTGTCTTGTAAGTGAATTTCAGTATGGAGTAAGTCAAGCAAGTAGGTGAGTTACCTTGGGAATTAAGCAAGTACTGAGTGGGTTATGAGTTTCTACAACCTCTGGTCATGCAAGACAGGCTTTGATGGGAGCTCACAGAAGATGGGCCTGAGCTACTTCACTAGTTATTGACTTTGTGCTTATGATAAGTGATGAGCAAACATGTAACTCAGAGCCAGAATCTCCCTGAATTTCCAGGTAAACTCACTTATCAGCCATCTGCATGAAGTCCTTGTGATTTTTCATGAAAGGGCCAGAGCACAAACACAATACTATTTTTCTGAGATCAGTTTTCCGAAAACAACAGAGCAGCCAACCCACTGTTGGAGGCAGATCAAATATACAGAGATTGACTTGGAGGTTTTCAGCTACTTTGCGGGGGTCGGGGAGGGGGCGGGGATATGTTGTTAGGTCACACAGCCTATACACAGACCTTCTTTACCTGCGGTAAATAGATTTTGAGTAGAAAAATTGCCTGAGTCACCTGAACCTGGTCTGCAGAAGTGTAGAAGTCTTCCTAGAAACAAAAGTTGCACTCCTCAAAATGTATCAAGCTTGGTGACCTTTTGAAATGAAGTATTAAGACAGTTGATTGTGCTCAGTGGGTGGGTCATATCAGAAGTGAGACTTTTCAGGAAGACAAGGAGGAAAAGTATGAAAAAGGCTGCCATTTGACACAGATGTGAGGAGGAAGCTCCAGCTGTTTTGATACATCCTAAGGATATCTGTTTGCAAAGATTGTGCTCCTTGGAGGGCAGCAGACCAAGCCTGTACGGGAAGCATCTGGAGGACATCACCGAATGATGCACTGTCAAGCGTCTGTAGATGTATGTGTGTCAAAGCTCAAGAATGAGAGCAATGGAGGAGGAGTGCGTTATGTCTGACTAACCGCTGCAGTCACCAGCCTATATGGCAGGGTAAGGAAGGGATCCATGGCGCGGCGATAACTCATTCTTTGCTAGCAGCTAGAAGGACATGGGACACTAGTCCAGCATTTTTCACTAAAATCTTAATTGTTTCATACTTGTATAATGTGGTGGTAAAAAAAAAGGAAAAAAAAGTTACACGTCTGAAAGAGAATTATTAACTTCAACAACTGGTAGTTTATTGGAGCTATGAAGTAGGACTTGCTTCTGCTAATTTTAGGTGTGTACAGTGTCTATTTTGGGGTGAAGCAAATCATGGTCTAGATTTGACAGACACTGCTGAATACATTTCTCATAAAGGGAATTTGGATAGCGGCAGTGTGGGTTCACAGTAGATATCCATATTAGGTGAATACTCCTCATACTAACGAAGTCTTAAAAAAACCCGCTGAATTTCTCATATGATGGAAGAGAATCTAAGAAGTTGTAAAATGTCTGTGTGTAAGATGTATAGATAAATGGCTTGCAGCCCATGTTGCTCAGGTTGCAATTTAAAATGTGCCTCTTTCCATTTGTAATGGCAGTAAATGGTGTCAGGAGAGAGTGACAGCCTTTCTCTCAAGATAGAATGTAGGAAATACAAGAGATTGTCAGAAGGCTGGAAGAGTGGGAGAAAATGAAGAATCAAAAGATGCCTGGGAAGAACTGCCCAGGAAGAGATTCAGCAATCCATCTCAGTGATACTGGTGCAAGTAGCACAAATGGCTCTGTTAGAGTAATTTTAATAAGCCAGGTGCTTGGCCTTGCTAGACTGAGATTTATGTGTTATTGGATGGCTTCTGATTTATTTAATACAGACAAACTCCAGGAGTTATCTGGGCAGATGATTTCTACTGCTGCTGGTGATTTTTAGTATATAGTACCCTTTGTGAAGAGAATGAAGATCATTAAACTAAGTAAAGGAAGATTTGATGCCCATCTTATAGCCAAAGAGATGATTACATATCATTGCCTTCAAAAAAGAGAAAATGTAAAGCATGTGCTAGCAACAGAGGGGGCACTACATGAGGCTGATGCAGTTTGGCCTCCTTCTGAATGAGAAACATGAATTAATCTAAGAGCAGGTGAAACTGGTAAGGCACAACAAAGGGGGGATGCTGCTGGATTCAGGAAACGTGAACATACAACCCAATCTGGAAGAAGTATGGATAGAAATCATTAAGACATTTAGCTCCTCTAACCAAACCTGCAAGAGCTTTCTTCAATATTTTTGTTGTATGTAGATCCAGGGAAGTACACAACAGGATTGATTTAGCAATATAAAGAACTGGCAGCAGTTGTACTTTTTCCAGCAGAGTCCTTAGTAAACCACTCGCTAACAAGAGCAGTAAGTGTATCTTCCTGTGGGTGAGGAGCAGTGATTGCATAAAACCAGCTGGAAGTAGACCGAAGACATGATCTCTGAGACTCAAAGAAACTAAGCAGTAATATTGCAACAGGAAAAGATGTTCCAGAAATCATTTGGGCCTGTAAATGGTTCAGTGTGTGTTTGTTCAGCTCTGATTTTAATACAGAAACAAACTGTAAATGCTTTTTTGGCATGACTGGGTGCAAATTGCTAGATAATTTTCAATCCAGAGTCAAAAATTTTTATACAGCTGTTCTAATTTTCTTCCTGCATTGAACACATATCAAAGGAAGTATTCCTAACACATAATCTGTTTATAGATTGGCTGGTGGAGAAAAATCTTGATTGGAAGGTGTGGAAGTCTATGTGGACCTTATTCTGTGAGCAGTCTTGGCATTTGGAAATAGTGTCAGTATTTCATCTCTGCAGAGAGAGCAAATTTGAAGGGAACGACTGCCAACTTCTGCCTGCAAAACCAAATTTTCACATGGCCGAAGGCCTCCTGTCAGTAGAAGTTGAGATGTCTATATTAGTTCAGAAAGAGATGTTCACTGAAAGTTGTGAATGATAGCAAGGTACAAACAAGTACAGGCAGGGACCACAACCATCTATGTGGTGACCAACTCCTACTAAGCTACATTAGAGAGTAGTAGAGGATTGAAAAAAAATAGGAAAATATAGGAAAAAAATTAAAAAAAATAGGAAAAAAATAGGAAAATATAGGAAAATAAAGAGGAAAATATTACCAGAATATCTCCTCATCACAGAACTGGTTAGAATACTACGTATGTGGGTAGTAAAATGTTTGGTTTTCTGCAAAGTTGCTGATTTGGAGGACTGTTTTTCTGCGTATATGGACTTGGCAGATGTAATCAGCATGTTTTGCACAAATCCTTATACCTGGTTGTTGGCCTCAGTTTACCTCTGAAACATTCTTGACTTCCATCCTAAGTATTCGCATTAGCCCCAGAGCAACAAGGAGGTAAAAACTGAAGACAAGGGAATTGCCATAAAAAAATCAGTAGATGTCTGTTAAACTCTCATGGCACAGTGGTAAGCCATGCTTGCATCTGAACAATAGCAAGAAAGAACTTGTAGCTAAGAAAAAACAAACAAGAGGAAGGAGTCCTAGCTGGTGTGATTAGGTAGGTGAAGTCTTACGTGGCCAAACCTGAAGGAACCGGGTTCATCTCCAACAGACGATTGCACGTGGGGTCAGAGTCAGTGCTGTGTAGGGTGGTCTGTGGGGAAGCAAACCCTCTTCACAAGCATGTCCTCGTGAAAACTCAGAGGAATGAATAGTGATTATTATGAACCTTTCTGTGACTACTTAGATGAACTAAACAGCATTTTGTAGGCCATCATAAAATACATAGTTTTAACAAAATTTGGAGTTGATATGGAATTGTTGGGTGTTTGTAGCAGTTATGAATTTGAGTCTAACTTTTTATTATGAGGAAAAAGCAGTGTGGTATGATTATAAAGTCTCTCTTTTACAGGTACCAGAAAAAATCAGGATAGGCTAGACAGGGGAGGATAAATTTGGAAGAGAGGGAAAGAAGAGGATTTTCAGGACAAGAAATTCTCTAGTTGCAGCTTAAAACATAGCGCTGGTTTTGTCATTATTAAATATTTCTCTACTGTTTCACAGCAGTGCAGGCACTCAGCAAACACTGCTAAATTGAATTTCAGCTTTTTATTATAGTGCACTAAAAATCAAATATAAGCAAATAAATATTGCATTGTTTCAAGACGTGCATGAAGTTTATTACTACTAGTAAACAATTATTATTTGGGGACATAATGAAAAGTAGGACCTTTACAATTGCAGTTTCTGATTTGCTAGTTAAATAAAATGGAAAAACTCTTAAAAATAGGATGTGGACCATTTTACTCTTAAATTCCAGAATACTGTTATGTTTTTCCTCAAGGTAGGTTTCACTGTGGTCTTGGCACATACCTTCACATCTTCAAACTTTGCTTTCTTCAAATGCTGTACTTGCACATAGTGCTTCTATTTTTTGTAGCCTTTCTAATACCCCTTTCTCTTCAGGCATTCACGTTGCTAAAAAGATAGACAAACTGGGCATGAGGTCATCAGACACAGCTCAGATCTTTTTTGAAGATGTAAGGGTCCCCAGCAAAAACCTCATCGGTGAGGAAGGAAAGGGTTTTACATATCAGATGTTGCAATTCCAAGAAGAGCGGCTGTGGGGAGTAGCCACTGGTAAGTCATCGTTCGTGCTTTTGGGGCCGGGCAGGGACGCGGGGTCACTCTTTGCATGACTAACAGCACTTTCCTTTTATTGTAAATCGCAATGACTTCTTACTATCTGTTTTTGAAATCTGTCATAGCCTGGATACAGACAACCTTCCCTTTCTGTAGGAAAACTAGAAATAGATAATATTTTGTGAGACATCACAGAGGCTGGGTTTGCCTTGTTTCTTTTTCTTGGTGCTTTTCTGCTAGTAAGAAAATATGGCATCTTGTTATGTCTGCTACAAATATAGCGCAAAGGCTTTCAAAATACTGGCATGAAACAGAAGGACGGTGACTTTTCCTGTAGTACAGTAAGCTATGATGTTTATCCTGGATTTTAGAAAATTAACTTAGTGGCTGTGTAAAGAAGTGGCTCTTACATCCTGTGAGAGCTTTGTTTGTGGATCTGTTTTACTTCTGTATGCATTGGACTTAAGTAGTACAGCACCAAATTCCTTTCCCTGAAGTTATGCTGTCACAGAGTTCCTGTTAGTCTGAACTCAGGCTGTACTCTAATCCACATGTTTGAGTTATACGGATTCTGGATATTCCAGGTAACCAGATCCAAGTCTGGATTGTCCATTTTCAGCCTCCCAACCTTCCCCTCCCACCCCACAGCGTTTGCTACTTCAACTTAAATATAATGTGGTTCACTGTAAGAAGATTGGTCCTCTTTAAATTTCAGGGTTGTATAAATAATCTCACCATATTCATGCTCCTGTACATACCCTGTCTGTTACTGTCTGTGTGTGGCTGGCGAATCGGGAACTCGAAGAAGTGATTTTCTGATTCAGTGACCAAATAAAAAAATCACTCCCTGTTGTGGGTTGATCCCAGACCAAATATTTTAGACTTCAAATGCTTTAAAAAAATCTTTGGTTTGGGACAAAATTCTTAGTTCAGCCTGAGCTAAATAGTAAATGTGAGACTAGTTTTAGGAAAGAACAGGAGGTTAGACTTGCAAGGGATGCCACTGCAGACTCGGGCAAGGAGGAGACATGGTCCTGCTGTAATCGAGGCGTGCGCAGACTGCAAGGACGTGCATTGTGCATTTTTATGCTCAGTTTGAACTCTAAGTTAAACAAAACAATCAGAAACTCTGGGTTGCAGTGATACTCCCCAGGCAGCAGAGTAACCCGCAGCGTTAGTCACGCCTCAGGCAAAAGTGACGCGCACTGACAGCATCAAAACACAAAGCCCGGCAGGTTAGATCACTCCTGTTAAAACCACTGGCAGCTTGGTACTGTCCAGCCTTGCACAACTGCCCAGCAGTCACCGTGCTCTGCCAGGAAGCAGGACACCAGGTTTCAATTCTTCTTTTTGCCCAGAACAACACAGCAGGAGCAGGCAAACCATCGCCCTGGATGAGCAGTCTGGGAAGGGCACCTTTGCTCCCCCCACCATGGCCAGGCAGGGACCCTCAGGGAGGAGGAGCCTTGGAGCTCACCAGGAGAGAGGGAGCTGCCTCCTGCAGTGCGGTGGCCAGTGTGTTATACCTAGCTGGGCCCCCTGGTTTTGCTTTTATCCACTATCTGATATAAAATGCATGACAGCACTGGGAGCAGGGACAAGACCCATGGTTTGGGCCAAGTTGCAAACTTGGTAACCAGTTGTGGTAAACAAGAAAAAAGAGTAACCAATGTTCAGAAGGGAGCCAGGTGCCTGATGGATGCAGTTTGTTATACCACGACATCTGGCTGTTAACTTCCAGTCCTGCAAATGGTTTTACATATGTTCAACCACACGTGTTTTGCAGAAGGCTCAGATGTGCAAAACTATATACATGCCTTCAGTAGTTTTGTGATTAGGTCTGCATATGTAATCCTAGTTCACACTTCTGGCCCTCAGAAGGACGTTTCTGTTCCTTCACAGTTCTTGACTATTCAAGTGACACTGAAAATCGTCAGTCTGCTTTTAACCACTTTAGGGACCAGTCCTGGCATCCTCGCTTTCACTGCTTCCTAAAACTTGGAAGAGGCAGTTGACTGTTATTTTTTTCTTTCTTTCCTTTTTGGGAATTGTTTTGTTTTGTTGTGTTTGGGGAGTTGTTTTGGTTTTTGTTTTTACGTATTTTTAGTATCAAGTGTGCTCCAGCCTTCTCTTTGTTTATTAACTATATCTTCTTTGTGGCCAAATTTCATAACGTGTGGGGAGTTTTCTTTCTTCTTCACCTTGTTTTTTTTTTTCCCTTTAAAATGGATTTTCAGTCAAACAGATTTAAAATATAAATAGAAAACTAATTTCCTGGAATTGCAAAATTTGGTCACAGGTGTGGTCTTTTCTTCCAAGTAACACATTATCAAAGGTATTGCTAAAAGTCGCTGTGTTTCTTGCTTCATTGAAAGAGAAGAGCTGCCACATATCTCTCCAATGTTGTGACACCCGGTAAACACTGTCCATTTGTGGACCTGTTGCACTGATCACAGGAAAAGAATGTTGCTATGGCAAGGAAGCAAACAGGTTTTTTTGCGAATTGCTTAACTTGGAGGCAAAGAGGGAGTTCAGTGTGTGTGAGAAAGCAGAATGGCACTTTTCTAATGACTTCTATCTGCTCTTGTAGTCTCAGTTTTATGAGCACCATTGAGTCATGGCCAGTAAGCAGGATGACAGATCCTTTTGCATGGGCAACGCACGTCCTTAAGAGACAGATTGCTCAGCTTGGAGCTCACTGTACATCTCACTAGAGAGTGATCAGCCGCAGCCTAAGAAAAATATATCAATTTCCTTTTGTTTTGAGAGGAGATATAGCAAGGCAAAGCGTGTTTACGGTAAGCAGAAGTTTCAAGTGGAAAAATATAAGTTGGATGGAGGTACAAGGAAAAGATTATTCTTCATCTGGCAACTTCAAGTGCTTTCACAATTCTTGGCTGTGTGGTAGACCATGCGTTCCTTAGGCTGCCCTAGAGTGACACTTCCTGCATGTGCTGTCAGTTGAAACCCTTGGGGCCAAGTTTGTCTGAGGATGTGGAGAACACTGTACAACAAAAGAGGAGATAAATATACGGGGCAGGGGGGGAAGTTCAGAGAGAAAATGAGTTTCACCATTAAGAATGGTATTTCTCTGTACTTGTATGACTGGCAAAGTATTGTGTGCCGTTATGTTGTACAAGGCTGTTGGTAGTCAATGGTATCCACGACGTACTGCATTTCATTGCTGTTTGCTGCACAGCTAAGCTTTGCCCTGTTAGAGCTATGCTTATAGCCCTGTCCAACCTGACCTTGAACACTTCCAATGATGGGACATCCACAACTTTTCTGGGCAACCTGTTCCAGTGTCTCACCACCCTCATCATAAAGAATTTCTTAGAATCATAGAATGGTTTGGGTTGGAAGATCATCTAGTTCCAACCCCAAAACATTCTTATTTATGTTCGATCTAAAACTACCCTCTTTCAGTTTAAAACCTGTGCCTCCTGTCCTGTCACTACAGGCTCTGGTAAAAAGTCTCTCTCCATCTTACTTATAAGCCCCCTTTAAGTATTGAAAGGCCGCAACAAGGTCTCCTCAGAGCCTTCTCTTCTCCAGGCTGAAAAACCCCAGCTCTCTCAGCGTTTCATAGAATCATAGAATCCTTAAGGTTGGAAAAGACCCTTAAGATCATAGAGTCCAACCGTTAACCTAGGACTGCCAAGTCCACCACTAAACCATGTCCTCGAGCACCACGTCTACCCTTCTTTTAAATACCTCCAGGGATGGAGACTCAACCACTTCCCTGGGCAGCCTGTTCCAGTGCCTGACTACCCTTTCGGTGAAAGGACCCCAGATCTGGACACAGTACTCCGGGGGGGGTTCACCAGAGCAGAGTAGAGGGGCAGAGTCACCTCCCTTGACCTGCTGGCCACGCTTCTTTTGATGCAGCCCAGGACTGCCTTTAGAAGATTTCCTCTGTTTATTTTTGTGTGCAAATGGCAGTTCCAGGAATAAGCAGAAGGGCGGTGATGGCAGCTAAGGAAACAGGAGGATGGGTCAGCTGGGTCAGGAAGGAGGCAGTGAAGCGGGGAGGGGGGCACTGTGAGAGCAGTTTTCTCAGGCCCCCTCACTCCCAGCCCTGATGCGTGGTGACAGCCTGAGCAGAGATGGGCCAAAACCCCTTCATGATCTTCAGCCCTTTTGCAAGCAGGACGTAGATAGGTGCTGTTCTGTTCCTTCCCACCTGGTCCTGCTCCTGCTCCTGCCTCCTCTTTGCTCTTTCCCATCCCTTCTTTCCCTGGTGCTGGATGCTGGGAACCACACGAGCCGCGCTGGAGCATCTTGCTCTGACAGACCGACACAAGACTAATCCCTTCTCCTTATCCCTCCCACCTCCCTTCTGCTCTCCTAGCACTGACATGTACTGTTTAGTTTCCCTCCCAGCAGCTCAGACTCGGCTGTATGCTTCCCAGGGATCAGTTTGGGGGCAAGGGACAAGAGGTGCCTAGACACTTCTTGCTCTTTCTTCAGCATCTCTCAAGCTGGAGACCATAGACATACAAGTGAAAAAGCTGATAGTGTTATATATGCTACAGTGTTGTGTTACGTGGTCCTCTGGAAGAACAGGGATGTTCCTCTGTACAAGAGATGTCCCTGAAAACAGCAATTTCTTTTCCTGTCCAGGAAACCAGCGTTAGGGTGGCAACATAGTGTATTAACACAGAAGAAATGAGGACATTACTGTATATGGTCTTTTGAAAAACAAGCACTGAGGCTAGTTGTTTGAGGAAGGAGGGGAAAATATTGAAGGAATGAGAAAAGCTGATCACGGAATGTGGGGACAGCATGTGAAAAATAGCCCTCTGTGGAAGAGCTGGTGAATGATCATGGCAGGGGGCAATTGGTGGGATGCAGAGTCTGCATATGAGAGCAGCATAGGGATGAAGTTTAAACAGAGGTCATCCTGAAAGCGATGCAAAAAGGAATATGGAAGCACACCAGGCTCCTCTAAGGAACTGTCATGTAACTGGCATGTGGGAAAAGGCATTTTGTAGTAGTCCAGGGCTCGGCTGTATTTTGCATTTCAGATGCAGAGTTTTGTGGTTTAGATTCTAGATGTGAATGGATGTGGATATGCATATTTTGAAAAGAGAAAATGTGACCCTTCTTATACAGATGGATTTGTGAACTCTCTCCCTCTCCCTACTGCTTGCCATAGTGACATGGCTCCACATTTGCCAAACAAAATTCTCCACGAATTCAGCACCTGCTGTTGTCCTAGCTAAGCTGCAAGAGACTGATAGCCTAGCCCTTCAATTCAAGGCTGGTTTGCCTTGGAAAAGAAACTTTTCCCTTTTTCTCTTGTTTAAAATAGAGTATCTCTTAAGTTTTCTCAAAAAGTAGCAGCGAACTAGTTCTCTTGCTTTAAAACAGTGTCTACCATCTCTCTCACCTGTCTTCCAGCAGTATCCTATTTTGATTCTGCTTCCATTAGAAGCACTGCTTAGCATTTACTAAAAGTGGTTCTGAATCTTAATGTTTTTCCCTTCCTTTCTGTACTGGGATCTGATCACAGAATGCAGATGTAGTAAGCGGTCTGTTCCTGTTCCTTGATCTCTGAATAGGTTTCTGCCTTCTCCCTGAAAGCTGCCTTGAATTTACATTTCTACAGCATTCCTCAGTGAGCACGCTGTCTGCCTTCAGATTTTCTTTCGGGATTGTAACAGACCTTCAGGACACAGGTAGCATGGAAAGCAGGAGTGGCCACAAGCTTTTGCTAGGGCCCCAAATGAGGCATTAAGGATGAAGTTTACATACTCGTCATTACATACTGCTCTTTCCTTCCCTCCTCCCCACCCTCCTTCACTCTCCTCCGAGTTTTGGCAGTTTGGGGCTCAGGTGAAATAGGGATAAAGGGGTCTTCAAGGTACAAGGACATACCAGACATTTCTCAGAATTGAAACTGCACCCCAAACCGAGTGT